CCTGCTGCTAGGGCTCCTCCAGCCTTGGTCCTGACTTCTCTTTGCTGTATTCCTCCTTGCCTGGTCACTATCTGCCTTGTAGGAGAACTCACTCACGATAAGGAGGAGTTTCAGCTAGGCGCTTTCTGTTTTCCTACCCAAATTTAACTTTGTTGAATTCTACATTTTTCTTCTGCTAGGGTTTTGGAGGAATAAGTTTGATGTTAGCATCACTGGGCCAGACGTATTCCACCTTGACAACGAGTTTGTGGTCCCCGTTGAGATGATGAAAGCCCAGGAGTACTCCCTGAGCTGGTTTACGCTGGAGACCCAGGACATTCAGGTAGGGCCCTGTTAGGAGCACTTCAGGTTTTGGCTGGAATTTCATTTTGCTATTGTATCTCAGCAACTGCAACTATTCTCTCCAAAAAAACAAATGCCTTTTAACAGGCATAGCACACAAATATTTAATAAGCATCTTTTGTCCTTGCTTGTAGCAAGAGTGTTGAATCTTCGCTCTTAGTCTCTAGGAAAAGCCACAAAGAGATAATCCCACTAAGTGGGAATTAAGGGAGATTTAAAGCTCTGAGTTAAAGATAAATGAGGAAATATGCAAAGGAATTCCCTCAGGCAATGTACTGCTGGAGCCCTTCAAAATACAGCGACTGCCAGAGTGGGCGCAATGTTTGTGCACGTGAGCTTCCACTCCGCTGTGTGTTTGATCCTTACCAGTCAGTGGCTGAATACTAAAATCTAATGCTGTTATTCCAACAAACTTTCTCCTCTGAAGAAGTCAGATACCTCCTTCCCACCAGGCTGTTTTCATCCAGTAGCTAGACTGGCCCTGTAGACCAATTAGAAAAAGACTAAATTAAAAGCATCACTTTCTGGACTTTCCTTCCTCTTCCATAAACCCTTCTTGGCTGGTTTTATTTCTAGGTGGCCAAGTTTCCCTTTGAGAGCAACATGAGTTTTGTGGTCATTGTACCAAACCAGTATACTTGGAATACCTCTCATGTGCTGGAGACCTTCCCTTACAAACAGCTATGCAGGCTTTTCCCCAAAGAGATACCCACCACAGTGAAGATCCCCAAAATAAAATTGGACTACCAGCTGGAGCTCAACAAGGTTCTCAGTCGAATGGGTAAGGCCTCCAACAGGGTTTACACAGAGAAAGTGAATCTGATCAATCTATGTGGCATCTGTTCACTAACACTAAAAACTGCCATCCGTGTTTCTAAAGCTGTGCCTCACAGCTTGCTCCAGATAACATCCAAACTCTTTCAACTCTTCTTCGTCTCCTCCTCCTCCTGGCACCAAATGTTTTGCTCCAACAAGACGACGCTGTAGAGAAGGCAGCGTTCACAGTTCCTCACAATCTTTACGACTTCTTCCTATTCCCCCATTTGTAGCCAAGACCAACTTCCCCCTGTACATCAACCTCCATCTCTTACTTTCTCATTTAACATAGTGCCCAGGACATGGAAATTGGACACAAAACCCAGAACTGAGAGCTTACTGAAATAAAACACCATGCACTGCATTTCCAGATGAGAATGAATGAAGAGTTCGCTTTGTTTTGCAGAATTGCTTAAAAAAAAATTAAATAAACTCTGTAGAAGTGTTTTCAGCCCAGCAAGAACTTGCTGCTGCTTTTTAAGGAAGCACTTAAGTTCTTGACTGTTCTAAAAGAGGTGGACGAAGCAAACCGTTCTGGTTTTGGCACCCTCAGCTCTTCATACAGAAAGGGACTGGGGAACCTGGCTGGACCACAGCTTTTGTTTCCATTGCCTGCCAGTTCTCCAGTCCTCCATGGTGGACAACACATGTAGCGACAGATTAGGGAACTGCTTTCTTCAGGCAGCTTTGAGGGAAATCAGAGCTGATGGCACCAAGTGGGCGAGGTTAATTTTACCTCATTTCCCTGCAGGCCTCCAGGAGCTGTTCACGAGCCCCGATCTCCAGAAGATCACAGACGACCCTCTCCTTGTATCCAGCGTACAACACCAGTCTGCCCTGGAGCTCAAAGAAGACGGAGCAGAAGCGTCTGCTTCTACCGGTGTCGCAATTTCACGCTCGGTCTCTGCCTTCTCCATTGACCGACCCTTTCTCTTCATTATCTTTGAAGATGAAACAGGCATCCCATTTCTGATAGGCAGTGTCCAGAACCCTAACCCCAATGCTGCTCCCCAGATAAAAGAGCCACGGGACTCACCTGAAGCAACAAATGTCAATGAGAGCCCCATGCCCAAATAAGAGGAGCAGAGCCTAAGTGTTCTGGGACCTGACCCTTTGGACCAGCTAAGAGAGGCCTCCTGTCCCTGGAGCCCTCACTCTGAGGCCAGAGGACGTGATCCCTTGCTGTTTTCCTTTACAGATCCCTAGAGACCAGTCCTGGGATAGCCCATTCCAGCCTCAAGGAGCTGCTCCAGGCTGGGGTTCCCCTATTCTGAACCTGGAGAGCTTGCTCTGCCTGGATGTCCCTTCCAGGGCTCCCAGTCCTGGAAGAGAGACTTCCTTGTCCCCAGACTCTTACTAGAGCCTTTATTAAGTCCTTATTAGAGTCCCCCATAGCCTGGAATCATCACTGGCATCTGGTAGCTTGGACAACAGCCAGAGATCTTAATGTGGCTCTTCCTTCCGCAGTTCCTGTGAACATGCCTCCCTCAAAGTGTTCCTCTGAAAACTGTCTGTACCCACCTAGAAAACGACCTCTAGATCAACTGGACCAGGAACCAGTTGTCTTCTCTAGGACGCGTCACGACCATTTCCAGGCACAGGCTCTCTTCAAAGATTCCCTTTTCCCACTCCTTGGCTTATTGGGATCTGATATGGGAGGGTCTGCAGTGGGAAACCCCTTTGGATCCTTATCTCCAGCCTTTTTCTGGGGAAACTAGGTTCTTGGGTAAGGCTAGATTTTTTTTTGAGACAGATTTTATAAAGAGTTTTTTAGTAATTTTTATGTTGGCAGAATAATAAAGAGTAAAGCAGAATACATTTGCTTAAGGTGTTGCATTGAAAGACCCAACGGAGAAAGGAAAAAGGCACGTGGCTTGAGTAATTGCAAAGATCGGGAGGAAGAAGCCGGGGTGTGACAGATGGAAGGAGAGGAGGGGATCGTACAAAGGATCTGCTTTTTGTCTGTGAGCAGCGATGCGGTGGGAAGCAGGGATGTGAGAGTCCATCACCTTTTTCTTGGGCAAAACCTGAGCCCTGCTGGCATCTACGAGGAGATTCAAAGGCGCTGATCTGGCACCTGCTATCTGCGATTTGTTCTTCCACTGGGATACTCCATAGCACAACGCTATGGATGGCTGGGACAGCTTCCAGGGGAAGGAGGAGAAGATTTTGACACCTGTAGCTGAGTGTCACTGCTTTTGCCTTGTTTTGGCAAAAGGCAATGCCCTGTCACAGCTTCATTTTTGTCTGAGATGGGCACAGCTCCCTGGGTCCTCATTCTGAGCTAGCAGTGCACATCTGAAAGAATTTAAACTCTCCACTCAACCAAGCCATCCTACCACTTAAAAATACGAGTCTAACTCACCATAGCCTGCCATGCTGCAGCTGCTTCTGTACAAAACAACTGCTGTCCATAGTAGATTCTGCTTCCAAACTCCCTCAGCTTCTGGGTAGCAAGGATGGTGCTCTGTTTTTGTGAAACAGCAGTTACAGAGCACAAGGGCCATCCTTCTGGCAGTATTTTCCGCACTCGGGAAGTCTGCCTTCCCCCAAAGGAAGGAGCAGGATGCTTCTGGGAGCCTCTGTCTCTGAATAGTCTGCACCATCTGCTGGAACAAGAGAAGGACTGACTCACCAACCAGGGGACTTTGGGGAATAAAACGTCCTGGCTCAAACCTGCAATTACACATTTCTTGCAGTCTAAAAGGGGAAAAACGGCTGAAGATAATGTCTACCCCTCTAACCAATGCCATGACACGTACCCTTCAAAAAAGAGGGTATAATTACAGGGCCAAGTAATTTTAACAAGTAAACCCTCAAGAATCCAACCCGACTATGAGGGCATAGCCCTAGCCCACAGGGAACATTTTAGCTTATTTATTTATACAGATTCATTCCTAACAGTCAGAAATACCAGCCCATGCCTTAGGTAAAGTCTTGCTTTGCCTGCTGCAACCTCAGCACTAAACTCCCTGAATTCCACCCTGTTGCACCCCAACCTGTGCAAAATGTGAAGTGCAAGTCTTCCCTTTCATCCCTCTGCCCTCCTGCTAGCCCTCTTCTCTAAAGTCTTTTTTCCCCCCTCATTCTCAGTTTGCTGAGCAGCTTAGTTATTATTTCCTATTTTCCATCTTTCTGCCATCCCTCCTCCTCCAAGCTATTCTTGTCAAACTATTAATTTCATCTTATTTGACAGTACAGCAGCCCTCCGTGACTGCGCTTTGCTCAACAAATTATCAGTTACACCAACCTTAAGACTCATTTTCACTCCACCGACTCTCCAGAAGAGGCAGTTTGCAAAATGGAAAGTAACATTAATGTCTCCGCTCAGGAATTTCCACTTTGCATTGCTAAGCTTTCATTTTGACTGAGCTCTGTTCTGAAAAGACGTTGACTAGCACAGGGTGTCTGCTCTAGCTCATCTGCACCACTGGCTGAGAATATCAAATAAGTCTCAATATCTTTAATATTAGATGTGGGTTTTTTCCTTACTAGAGCATATTCATATGAAGGTGATCAGAACTTCCATAGCAGAGGTGAACACTGTTCAGACAGCGTATTGCCTGCTACCTTGAACCCAAACGAGACCACCACTAAAATGTTTGTAACGATTTAACAAAACTGATTTAAGCCTTTGCCTCTGGTGCAATCTAATGCATCATTTCAGGGACACCCTTCACCTACAGAAATAAAGCTTGCTTTGGTCTATAATAATATTCTGCACAACTGCCGCTCTGATTTGCATGGTTTAGAACCAAACCTGTATTTAAAACACACGGGCTTTCATTTGAAGGTACAGATGAGACGTAAAAGCTTCTCTAGTGGTCCTTCCATAATGGGAATTTTAATACCACAAATAAGGTATCAAAAAGAGTCGAAAACCACCAGAAGATCTCTCTGAGGCCAACACCCCTGTTTCTGGGCCGAGGAGGGATGACTGACAAGTACAAACATCCTCTGCAGACGGCTCTGAGGAGCAGCTGAGAGCAGAGCTGTTACCCGTCTCGTTTGAAAGGGTCACCTTTGAAGCACTCAGTAATCCCAGGGCAGGCTCTCTGATTTGCTTTTCCAGCTTGCAAAACCAGCAGCTAACGCTTCCCAAAGCCATCCTTTCCTCTCAGCTGAGCTCAGAGCCAGCACACAGGATCACTCCTCGTTACCTGCTCAGGAGATGTCCCCACACGAGCCCAGGCTGGGAGAACTCACATTACCGCCTGCGATTCACTTTCAGCATTTCCAAGTAGACAAACAGCTGCCCTGGATCAGGCCATCTACATGTCCAGTTAGCCCAGGGTCCTCTCCTTCTCAGTAGCCAGTAATAAATGACTGGGGGAAAAAATTAGACAAGAATTACGAGGGACAAGGAAAACCAACTGCTCTCTGGTTGTGTTGCCCAGCTGCTGAGCCTGACATTACATCCGACCATCACTGCCTTCAATGGACCTGCATTCCACCAAATTGTTGGGGTTTCCCCCCCCCCAAAAATCCATTTATCTTTCATCTTCTGCAATATCTATCTATTTACAATGAGTTTTACAACGTAATACTTACAAAAGATACACTCTCTTGTTCTAAATGTGCACTGATGAGTGCTGCCCATGTCTTCCACTGCAAAAAAATAGCAAAACATACACTCTCTTGTTCTAAATGTGCACTGATGGGTGCTGCCCATGTCTTCCACAGCAAAAAAATACCAAAACCCCTCTGGCCCTTTCCCTTCTCCAGATCATTTATCCTTCTGCAAACTCTTACAAGTGGCCCTTTCCCTTCTCCAGATCATTTATCCTCCTGCAAGCTCTTACAACATTCTGTTAATTCATCCTTTTTTTACCAAGAGTCCTTGACTTTTTAGTCTTCCAGTCAAAAACTTTAAGCCAGTTATGTTAATAACTTCTCATTAACTAATTCCTGCCAGTGGACAGAACCAGTTCTGGACATCTTAATTGCTTTAAACAACAACAGAATCCTGCTTCCACTTTACAAGTCTCTCCATTAAATCTTGGACATAAATCCATAAATCCATTAAACACTGCTGCATTAACCATACCTCTGAGACAGAAGAAATTCCCTCATGTGACACATGGCAAAACTGCAGGAATAAAAGACTTGCTGAGAAAGGGCAGGGAGCGTTTGTCTCTGGGACCCGTGCTTTGCCCACTGGACTGTCCTTACCATAGGGAGCACGTTAATTTTGGAAGACAGGGTTAAAAAATGAGCGCAAATCAGCAGTGGAAAATGGGAGCAGAGCACTTTAAGAGAGCCCTGGGAAGCTGTAACCTGAAGCCTGCCAAAGGCTGGGCTGGGGGAAGCAGCAAAAAGCAGATGTGGCTGCACCAAACCCGCAGTGTCCCCGACTCACACCCGCTGGGAGCCTGCGAGGGCCACAGTCGGAGGAGCTCGAGGTAAGGGGCGGCTCAGCCGGGCTCACGGAGAGGGGGTCTGAGGGCAGGGGCTGGGGAGCTCTCGCAGGACCTGAAATGGGAAGAATGGTTCTTCTGCAGGTGTTAAAGGGTGGGATTTCCACCAAATGAGAGATCTCACCAAGGGCTGGGAGCCACCAGCATCCTAGGGCATCTCTTTGCCACTTGGGCTCAACTGTGCTTGGAAGCTGGGGTGGTTTTGTGCCCTTCTACCATCTGTGGTGTAGCTGGGAACACATTTTGTGACGGTAAAAATTTCGGCGATGGGCAAATCCTCTACAGAGAATGGTTGCAAGATGCTTCAGAGGGAGTTAGAGCCGTGGGGTGGAGCGGTCACGGCGAGCAGCCTGAACTCACGAATGATGTTTCATAGCACCCCTGAAATCAGAAGCGTTTATAAATGATGTGAGACTGGTACCGCTGTGGATGGAAAGCACAATGTTTACTTTGCACCTGCAGGCCTACACGAACAGACAACTCCCAGGGACAAAGTTGCTCCTTCTCAGCTCATTTCTCTAAAGTTTTCTTCCTGTACGCTCCTGTCAGTAACATCCCATGCTGCTGCTCCTTCTTTTCTCTTTAAAAGCAGTCACAGATTTTAATATCATGCCTGAAACCATCCCACCTCTGCTCCAACCAAATTCTTCTCTCTGCATT